CATGAACTGAACCAAACTGAACCGGATACCTTGATCTCTCTCTCTCTCTCTCTCTCTCCCTATATATATATATATATATTTATTTATTTATTTGTTTTGGCTTTGGTTCCGACTTGCAGCCCTAAGTGCAGGAATGATCCCTCAACTCTACCCAAACGTTCTTTTTGTCCTTTTACTTAGTGTTCAATTTGGTTCCTCAACTTCTATTTATGATGAAATAAGGACATATTGCTGATCTCCACTAAGATGCCTTCTAAAATTAAATTACATGGCTATTTTTACCTTTGTTGATGCCACGTGGACTAAGAAAAAAGAAGAGAAAGCCAGCTCAGTTTTTTTCTTTTATGAAAAAGGAAATCAAAAAAATCAATCCTTGTCGTCACCAACCCACCCATTGGCACATGAACCTTGACATTGCTTGAGTACGGTCGAACCTTTGCATCTCTCTCTCTCTCTTCTCTCTTTCTATCTCACTCTAAACTTCTTTCTCATCTCCCATCTCTCTCTCATTCACTATCTTTCCTTTTTCTTTTGGAGCCACCATTTTTGATCCTCCACAGGTCTCTGGAAATCTCACAATCAAAACCCTAATTTCTCAGTTTATATTAAGAAATGCCTTTGGTCATCTAAGCCTTGGTGTATGTCTACTAGATTGTTGTATTTTTTATTTGGTTTTCTCGCCGTCAATTGATTCTTGAATCTGATTTATGGATGTCTGGATCATTTTGAGATTTAGCAGCATGATAGCCACACCAGATTTCAATAGCAAAATTGGGCAATAGCAGTATTTCATCAACTACAAACAATATTACAATAGAATAATTACAATGAAAAGAGAACAAAATAGAATGAAGAAAACAAGAAAGAGAGAGAGAGAGAGAGAGAGAGAGAGAGAGAGAGAGAGAGAGAGAGAGAGAGATGGAGGTTATGAAATTCAAAGAAGGAAGAGAGGAAAACTTAAGATCATTCTTTACACATGACAACAACAGTAGTTGAGCCTTTTATGACCACTTCCAACAACTAATTTGCCGTACTAGTGAGGTTATTTAACAAATTTAACATACTGAATATGAGCGTGCTTGAAGCATTGTGTGACTCCCACGGCCCACTTCTGACTGAATTTTCGATGTGTATCAATGTGTGCTTGAGATGATGACGAGCTCTGTTCTCCCTTTCAACTTCACATTTGTTCTTATTGACCCAAAATTGATTTATTATAGCACACATTGTGGATTCTGAGATTCAATGGTGGGATCTTTCTTGTTTATGACATGGGTTTTGAGGAGGCTCTTTCTTTTTGATTTGTGAAGTGGGTTTGATGGGCTGTTTTGTCAGAGCAATCAGAGCCTTAGAGGTGGTGTTGTAGCCATGGCTGCTCCTGGGTTTGTCCAGAAATTGGAGGAAGAGTGGCAAGCTATTCTGTTGCCAAAGAAATTTCAGGAATCTCAAGAACTCTTTATGTTCTTAACTGCTATGCACTTGAGTTCAATTTTCAAAGCAATTGGGAAAGATCTGAATTGGCCTAGACCTGAGTCTCACACAGTTTTTGTGGATTTATCTATATTGATCTGTTTCTCAATTTTGATAGATGTGTTGTGTAATTTTCACTTTTCCAAGTGAAAGGCATTCTGAACTGCGCAGTTGAGAAATTAGGGCATATAATAGTTGGAGGCTTTCAATTAAATCAATCCAGATTTGAATGGCTCCTTAGAATTCTGAATACATTGTTTTGTCTTTTTTTCCTTTTGCCTGTAAGACCATTGGGCCATGTCAGTTCTGCCCTTTTTGGCTGTTCAGGTACTGAGAAGGGAATTTTCTGGTGAGGACTTCCAGGACAGTGATGCAAAGGCAGTAGACATCGCCCTTAGGGATTCTTAATTAATTGAAATGTTCATATTTATCTGGATTCATCGATTCATTTTGTAAAGAGAGGGTTTCGATGGCTGGAGGAGGGAAGAAGAATGGGTGACATTGGTGTTCACTCCAACGTGGGTTGTCACCACTGTCTGCACTTTTCATTTTCAGCATTTCCGTCACTGTTGAATGCCTCTGCCACTATGCCAGTAAGTGGTATGGATTGCTGAGGAGCAGATGGCACAAATTTTATTTTCTGTTTTTTGTTTAGGTGGAATGCCACATGTGCATTTTTATTATTTTTTGGCCAAGTTACCAACAATATTCAGACAGATATTTCAAATTCATTGGATTGTTGATGGAAATCTGACTGGTGTTCTTAGTTTTCCTTGACCAATAATGGTAGTTGAGGGACCTAATTGAACACATAAATAATAAGGGACCAAAGTGAACATTTGGTTAGAGTTGAAGGACCATTCCTATACTTAATTCCTTTTAAATAATCAACATTTTGCAGTCTCCACCTGTTGACGTAGACCAAAACTCAACCATGTAAATCTTCATGTTTAAATTTATTTATTTGTTCCACTATTTATTTATCAAGAAAATTCAACTATCTTAAGGCAACCAGTTTTACAAAAGACTGCTAAAGGTTACTGTGGCCAGCCAATAATTTACTGTGGTCAGTTAATAATTTACCATAGCTAGCTAATAAGCTATTGCAAATGGGGGTCTGGATGATGTGGACGGTCCATGCATCTTAGGAAAATAAAATTTTTTAAAAACATGAATGCATTAATTTCTAATATATATAAACTCTTAGTACATCCAGAATCGCAATTATTCCAACTTTTCAGCTTGCATCAAAGAGTTTAAAAGGGTCCAAGCTTAGTAATATGCTTGTACCCGGTACTCATTCTGGAGCTTTTGTATTGTACTATGGTGAAGTTATTGGTATGAATGGGTCATGCACGTTGGAGAATTAATGTATTCTCATCCAAGTAGTGACAATCTCAGGATTTCAAGTTTGAATCAACAATAACTTTTGATTTACTAAATTTATAAATGGAATATAGATCCTATGATATGTGGCCTGAAAATAACTAGTATTGGGGCCTGTGCTCTGCATGGTATCAGATACAGTGGGGCCTGTGCTCTGCATGAGATATCAAGTATAAATGTAAAAATATATAGATTTGGTGTGATTAAAAAAAAAAAAAAAAGAGAACACATCACATCACTTACACATGGAAATCATTTGAGCTGACAAATTGCAGAAAAGTTTTACCAGCTTTAATATATATGTGTGTGTTTGTGTTGACTGAAGAACTTTCTTAAGGAGTGTACAGAAAGGTGGTTGCTTTTCAGTTGCTATTTTTAATATTCTTTTGCATACAAAAGCATTTTAGACTGGCTTCCTTCAATTGAAATTATTGAACTAGTATATAACTTCATGTTATTTGCATTTTTAGATGAAATGGAGAGATTAGGAATTGCTTAAATCTTTATATGGCACCCATGGGAACATTGGAGTATTAGTTTATGGCATTTCAGTTCAGGTTTGAAAAGTGTTCAATTTTTTGATATGTTATCCACTAATTAAATGGAAGCTTTTGTATTTTGGCAATTTAAATATATTTAAGTCATGAGATATTGGGTGCTCACTTGACATGATTGCTTTTTTCTTTCTCTTCCTGTTCTTTGACTTAAATAGAAAAATGGGTCTTATTTGGGTGGATGTTGGAGTTAGAAACAAATTTCTAAAGGTCATCTTTACTCTTCAGGAATTTAATTGCCAGTTGTTAGGGATTCCTTCAAATCTATGTGAGGCCCATGTGATGACAAAATTCAAGAGAGAGTATAAAACTACAGCACTTTGTCACTTTCTTTTTATTTTGTGTCTGCCTGCATTTTATGTTATTTTATTTTTATCTTTTTTTTTTGGGGGTGACAAAGGAATTAAGCCCTTGGGGAGGGGGAAATGCCTTCCTAATTGTGCTGAGTCCCTAAATTGTATGTATGCTATTTAAGAAACCTAATTCTTTGGAGAGTGCAACTTACTGAACAATAAAGACCTAAAATTTGTGCGAGGCCTTGTAAGTACCCCTATTTCTACACTGGTGGGAACTGTGAAACTTCATAAACCCTTTTTTGTTTGTTAGGATTTGTTTCTGTTTATTATGCCTATGTAATTTCTCTGTGATGCCTTGATCATCTCTTTCATGATCAACGTCATTTCTAACTTCTTCTCTTGAGATTGCCATTGTTCTGAAGTGCTGTGACCCTATAATGAAATTTGTTTAATCCCTATATCCACAAATCTTTTCTGTCTCCATAGAAGAATGGTGCCCGAAACCAAGAAGTCCAACCAACACGTTGTTCTTCTGTAGCTAATACCAAGAACCACTTCTGAACAGTTCTTTTGTCTTTCAAATTATATTTTCTACAAAATTTGGACTTCATAATTTTCATACTTTGTTTATTAAATCATTTGAGCATAGGCCTTTTTAAAATAGTTGATTCCACTTTTATAAGTTTCTGGTTTAATATTAAGATATATCTTAATTTTATGGACACTTTTCAGGAATTATTGGCACGGTCTCATGGCTCACAGTGTGGATTTTGCACTCCTGGTTTTATTATGTCAATGTATGCACTATTAAGGTCAAGTCAAACTCCACCTTGTGAAGAGCAGATTGAAGAAAGCCTTGCCGGAAATTTGTGTCGATGCACTGGATACAGACCAATTGTTGATGCATTTCGAGTTTTTGCAAAAACTAATGATAAAGTATATAGTAATGCACCTTTAAATAGCACCCAAAGCAGTGAGTTTGTTTGCCCTTCTACTGGAAAGCCATGCTTTTGTGTATCTAAAACTTTCAGCAAAGAAAAGAACTGTGGACAAGAACAGCTTGTGGCAATTGTTATGAGCCTATCTCATACAGTGAGATTGATGGAAGTAAATACATTGAAAAGGAGCTTATTTTTCCTCCAGAGCTATTATTACGGAAATCGACATATCTAAGTTTGAGCGGATTTGGTGGCTTAAGTGGTACAGACCTATTCGGCTTCAACAAGTACTAGATTTAAAAGCAAGATATCCAGATGCAAAGTTGGTCATAGGCAATACTGAGATAGGAATTGAAATGAGGTTAAAAGGACTTCAGTACCAAGCTTTGATCTGTGTTGCTTTTGTACCTGAACTAAATAAATTGAATTTGAAAGAGGATGGTTTGGAGATAGGTGCTGCAGTGAAATTGGCAGAACTTCAGAAAGCCTTTAGAAAGGTAGTAAAGGAGCGTGCTGCTTATGAGACTTCATCTTGCAATGCCTTCATTGAGCAGATAAAATGGTTTGCTGGCACTCAGATAAAAAATGTTGCATCTGTTGGTGGGAATATCTGTACAGCCAGTCCTATATCGGACTTGAACCCTCTCTGGATGGCTGCAGGAGCAAAATTTGAAATTATTGATTGCAAAGGAAACATTAGAACAATTGCTGCTGAAAATTTCTTCCTTGGTTATCGCAAAGTTGATCTAGCAAGTAATGAAATACTACTCTCTGTCTTTTTACCCTGGACCAGGCCATTTGAATTTGTGAAAGAATTTAAACAGGCACATCGAAGGGATGATGATATTGCGCTTGTAAATGCTGGAATGCGTGTTTGTCTTGAGGAAAGGAATGAAAAATGGGTGGTTTCAGACGCATCAATTGTGTATGGTGGGGTTGCTCCTTTTTCTCTTTCTGCCACCAAAACAAAAAATTATCTTATTTCCAAGGCTTGGAACCGTGAGCTTTTGCAGGGTGCTTTAGAAGTCTTGCAAAAGGACATTTTGCTCAAGGAAGATGCACCTGGTGGTATGGTGGAGTTTCGGAGATCTTTAACTCTCAGTTTCTTCTTCAAATTTTTCCTCTGGGTATCTCATCAAATGGAAGGGAAATCATCTTCCTTAGAGGGTGTACCTTTGACTCATTTATCAGCTGTGCAATATCTTAATCGACCATCTCTTATTGGAAGCCAGGACTATGATATTGTAAAACAAGGGACAGCTGTGGGTTCTCCTGAGATTCATCTTTCATCAAGACTTCAGGTTGGGACCTTCTCTTTCTATTTATCTATCTGTCTATAAATATGAAATTCATTGAATCCAGGTTAGGGAATTCTTTATCAATTTCTCTGTCATCCTTGCTGCAAATTCTTGGTGCTTTTTCAATAATATCCTTTTCCAGTTGGTAATATGAAAGATTTCTAGGAAATGATCAGATGTTCTGCACATTGATAATAATGTTTCTTTATGTATAAATATGAAAAAGAATATTTCCTTAAAAATTATCTGTCATTTTGTTAAGTTTTCAATAATTTACCTCATGAGGTACTCTCCAATTTTCAGAAATTTTGAGGTTCTTATTGTTGCTTTTTTTTATAAATAAGCAAATTATGAGGAAAAAATTGATTGGTTAAATTTTTCATTTTTATTTTAAGAAATGAAAGTCAGTCTAGAATTTGAAGCATTCAACAAAATTTGTAAATTGGAGTCTATCAGTACAAGCTGGTTGGTAAGGCTAATAAGCCCTGCCTAACTTAATGATTGCATTTTTGAGGCAAGTAAAGAAGGTAGAGATTATACTGTGGTACACCTAGATGGAAGTACTGCGGATACTTTTGGAGTTTGTGATTGTTGTATCCCTAATTATAAAATGAACGGGGTAAACAAGCAAAGAATCTATTCAGGGGAAGTGGCATATAAAATAGGAAATGAAAGTGATGTGTCTAACTGACCACTTGTAAGGGCTGAGCTTGTAACTGACCAGTCTCTGTGATTTGATTGCTTATTTGAAGGCAGGCTTGGACTCTTTTCCCTGGGCTAGGCAATGAACTTGTGTAGTTACTCGTATTCTTCTCCATATGTATTCTTTTACTTCCAAAATTTAAATGCCATTGAATTTTAGTATGAGATAGGAAATGGGATATGATTTTGATTTAAGAGGAATGCTATGGCTTTATGTTCTGCTGATTGCACTCTTCCTGGGACCCAGTCACTGTCTATTAAAGCTTGAGAAAGTGGCACCGCTCTTTGCAGAAGATTAAAATAATTAAGCTATTTTGGCATTTATAGAATAATATATATAAGTTCTTAAATTGTCAGCTTTTGCAATTTAATTGCAAAAAAACATATTTATATATAACTTTTTGGGGAATTCCAAATAATTTGAGTTTTATTTCTTTGTTTATTTTATTTTATGGTAAGTGAGCAAATATATTTTTGTCATTATCATCTGTATGATCTATTTAGGATTTTTATGTTCTTGTTCAAAAGGTTTTAAAATAGAAGTTGATACTTTTCTAAAACAAAGCTGTGAAATAAGAATATTATAGATTTTTATCATAAATAACAAAAAACAATATTCACAAAATTTAAGATAAATAGAAGGGGAACAAAACAACAAATAGGCATTCTAAACAACATTGTTGTTTATAGATGGCTCATATGCAAGAGGAGAATCCATATGTGTAGAACCTGTATATAAATATGGCACTTGTGGCAAACTAGTGAAAAGTCACAATGGCTTGCGATCGATTTGTGATTTATCCTCAATGGTTGTACTTAGTTTGCAGCTAACTCCATGCTGTCCACAGTCTCTGTTTATTTCTTTTCTGCAGACCATAAGTCATTCAACTTTAGATAAAACCAAGAAGAGTGGACATTTGGATAAATGAACCTTTAAGGATTCCTTTTTAGAAAATACTGGTGAAAACAAATCAAGGCTGAAATTCTGATAGATTGATTAATAGTTCCAGAGATGATTTTGGCGTGATCAGATATAGTTGCTAATTATATAGGGAGGACGCATTGAAGAAAAAGTTAAAAAAGAATAAAAAGCAAATACTGAAGTTAAATGCATGGGAACCTGTGGTCCATTTAATTGGAAAAATCACAGCCTTGGTTCTTGTTAAAAGGGAACCATAGAAACCTTTATATGTGTGAATGAGTCAGTGTGTCTACATTGTCCTTTGAATTTGTATTTATAATATCAAGAGATATATAAATAAGAAGAGAGAAAATACAAATAAGGAAAGGGAATAAATGAAAATAAAGGAGAATATTCCTATTGATATACTCTTATCATATATTCCTAATTAATCTATATACATATTTCTACACTCTCCCTTAAGCTGGAGCATGCAAGTAGTATGCACCAAGCTTGTTACATATATATGTAATTTGAGATGCCTTGAGTGACTTAGCAAATATATCTGTTAATTGATCATTAGAATTGACAAAGCTAGTAGCAATGCATCTAGATTGAATCTTTTCTCTGATTAAGCGACAATTCACTTTTATGTGTTTGGTCCTTTCATGAAACACCGGATTAAAGACAATGTGCAAGGTAACTTGATTATCACAGGTCAATTGCATTTGCTTAATATCTCCAAATTTCAATTCTTGGAGTAATTGTTTGAGTTATAGAAGTTCACATGTTGCCATTGCCATTGCATGATATTTTGTTTTTGCGCTTGACTTAGCGATTACATCTTGTTTTTTACTCTTTCAAGCAATCAAGTTGCCTCCAAACATTATGCAATAACCTAAGCTTGATTGCTTATCTAAGGGTGATCTGACCCATTCTACATTTGAGTAGCCAATGATCTGAGATTGACCTTTGTCTTCATAGAGAAGTCCTTGGCCCAGTGCCCTTTTGGTATATCTAAGCATTTGGATTGTAGCAACCCAATGACTATCACATGGAGATTGTAGAAATTAACTAACTACACTTACAACGAAGAAAATGTGAGGTTGAGTGATGGTAAGCTAGTTCAATTTTCCAACAAGTTTCCGATATCGTCTGGGATCGACAAACGCTTCTGCGGTCTTGGTAGGAGTTTGATGTTTGGATTCATAGAAGTGCCTACAGGTTGACAATTTGCCAAGCTAATCCCCTCTAAGATATCAAGAGCATACTTTCGTTGAGAAATAATAATGCCAGTTAAGGACTCAGCCACTTCAATACCAAGGAAATATTTAAGTTGATCCAAATCCTTGGTTTGAAAATGACATAAGAGATGTTGCTTTAATTTATTGATACCTTCTTCATCATCTCCTGTGATAACGATATCGCCTACATAAACCATAAGATAAAATAAAAAATAAAATGATCTGCCTCACTGCGAATTATGCCAAATTGTTGAACTATTGAACTGAATTGCTCAAACCATGCTCATAAAGACTGTTTTAGGCCATAAATTGATTGGTTTAGGTGACATACTAAGCCAGACTCTCTTGGAGCAACAAATCCAGGAGGTTGCTCTGTATAGACTTCTTTTTCGAGCTCACCATGTAAGAAAGCATTCTTGATATCTAAGTAGGCAAAGAGGGCAATGACACATGGCAACCATGGAGAAAAGAAGATGAACAGAGATAATTTTGGCAATAGGAGAGAATGTATCGTCGTAATCTAAGCCGTAAATTTGAGAGTAACCTTTGACCATTAGATGGGCCCTTCAAGTGATCAATCTTCCCATTAGGTCTAACCTTTTTAGTATAAACCCATCGACACCTAACCATGGACTTGCCTGGAGGTAGGGGAACTGGTTCCCAAGTACTATTAGAATGTAAGGCTGCCATTTCATCTAGCATAGTTTGTTGCCATTCAGGATGTGATAAAGTTTCACTTGTACTTTTAGGAATAGAAAAAAAGGACAAGGAGGTGATAAGAGCAAAATAGGGAGAAGAGATGATGGTAACTCAAAAAAGTATAAATAGGATGAGGGTTTCGAGTAGAGCGATTGCCTTTACGAATAGCAATAGGAAGGCTATTAGAAGAAAGGACCTGGAGTGGTAAAGGCATTGGATTTGGGTGAGAATTTGCAGGGACAACAGCTGAAGTGTTAGGGTGCAGTCAACGGTGATAGGTTTTGAAGGGGACAAGACAAAGCAACCTTAGCAGGTGGACTAAGTAAAAGAACTGAAAGAACGTCTGGTGGCAAAGCAAGTTGGGCAGTTTTCGGTGGTGGTGCATGGTGGCATGTGGTGGCTTTGGTGCCGACACTGTTTCAACGGGTTGTTGATCAGAGGTGGGCGACCATGGTGATGAGGTGTGTCATGAAGAAATATACCTCAAAAATATTCCTTTGTTATGATAGTCACGTGAGTAGTGAAGGAAAAAATTTTTTTAGAACTTTAGGGTTTCAAAACCAGGCTTTGATACCATGTTAAAAGGGAACCATAGAAACCCTAATATGTGTGAATGAGTCAGTGTGTCTTCACTTTTCTCTGAATCTGTATTTATAATATTAAGGGATATACAAATGAGGAAAGAGAATATGCAAATGAGGAAAGAGAATAAATGAAAGTAAATGAGAATATTCTTAGTGATATCCTATTGTATATTCCTAATTTACTTATATACATATTTTAACAATTCTACATCAATTAAATGGCATCAAGTGCATCAAAGTCCAACAAACAGTTCTGGAGGGAGGATTATGCAAATTAAGATGGCTAAATGGGAATAAAATGTTTTTGTGTGAAGGGATGAGAGGTCAATAAGTGTAGGAAATTCAATTCATCTTGCCTTTTTTTTTGGGGGGCGGGGGGCGGGGGAGGGTGAGATAGAGAGAGATCACTACTTAAGGAATTTAAAATTTTTTTATACACTCGAGGAGCTGTTGAGGAGGAGGATGGGCTACCGACTTGCTTTGCAACAGGTGTTTATAAAGGTTTTTTGTTCAATCAACTGAAATATGTGAATATATCTCTCTGTTCATCCTATTCTAAGTAGTATATTTCTTGTACAATGCATTCCGCTTCATCTAGTTTTTGGATTGTGCAATCTGGTGCTAGGAATCACTTGTTATGTAGACCTCGTACTTTTTATAGCCTTTAGTTTTCTAAATTTTTTCCTCACATCTTCTTAGCTAATGGATCTGGCACTTTGGCTAGTGGTATAGGTATAACATGTTTGCCCTCCTTGCCTTTTACTCCTTTGTATTCCTTTCTTTCCTTTTAACCTTGTGTCTGTTACTAAGTTAACTAGCCGCTTGCATTGTTCAATCACATTTTTCCTTGACTGTTTTGTTGGTCAGGATTTGAACATATGAAAGGCAATTGACCAAGGATAGCAGTGGAGTTTGGTACCTCAATGCATCACCACTATGGCAATACCTAATATTTGTGCTACTTTTGTTTTCACCCAACAGATTCATTGTCATCTTTGTTGTTCTTTTTTTGTAGAAGTTGAAAGAGATGCTTCCTAGTCTGAATCATGTTTGATATTTAAAATGTGAAACTTGTGAGTCAGGAAAAGGTTATCATGTTCCTTTTCTCCCTGATAGAAGGATCCTTTTTCCTGGTCTATTTTCAGTAGGTTTATTTTGATGTTAATGGTCTTACTCATGTAAAACTCAAAATTGGAATTTTTGTACTTTTTTACCTTGGTGGACGATTATTTTAAAATTATGTGGCTTTAACAAAAGATAATTCTGAATTGTTTTCAATTTTCTCCCTTTTAAGTTGAATTGATCACAATTCAGTTACAGCTGTTTGTATACTTTGGAATGATAATGCCATATAATATTTTTCTATACCTTTTATTGGCTATATGGCTACTAAGGGCATTCTTCATTAGTGTTAGTGTTTTCTCACTCTTGAACAGGATGTGATTGCTAACAGAGGATAGAAAACTGATTTAAATTGTTCATTGCATAATGTTTCAAATAAAAATCTCTAAGCTCTTTTGGGAGATGCAGTCCTTACAACTTTATTAATCAGTCACCCTATGTATATCTGGTTGTTTCTTTTGTTCACCATCTCAATCCTGGGTGTGAGAATTCAATATTTGTGCTATCAAGTGCTTATTTTAGGATATTCTTGTTCTCGTAAAGGCCATTGACACTATAGTCTTACATTGCTTCAGTTCTTCACTTCTGCTGATGTTACATTTTTGATTGTTCTATACATGTATGGTCTCAAATCTTACAAATTCTTTGCCTTGACCAATTCATACCATATCTTTTATTCTTTACTTTGTAACTTCTTTTAGCCCATCTTATCATTTATCTTGTCTAGATTTACATGGCTACACTTGTCATTGTCAACCTACCTTTAAAGTGGTTGTCTCCATCAGTGGATTTAGGTGCTTTGCTGACCTCTTCTTTGTCATCCAATCCACCACCTGATGACCCAATCTTCATAGAGTTCTTCAGAATAGTATATGATGTTGTACTCTCAATGCTATTTCTAATTTTGTGTCTTATGATCATTTTTCATCTAGTTCATTCTTTCTTTATGTCTTTGATTTCTGCTCTCATTTCTAAGAATATTGATGATGCCTTTATCTTCCAACTTGAAGAGCTACTGTGGAACTCTATGAAAGATGAAGTGCATGATTTGCAACAAAATGATACTTTGGAACTTGTTTGTCTTTGTGTTAGTAGATTGTTGGTTAGATGCCAATAGTTTGTATGTTTCAAGCGAACAAGATGGCCTGGTTAAAACTGATCTTCAATGCCTCAAATGCATGTCAAAAGTTATATTCAAGTTTATGTTGCAAATTTCTTGGATGCCTTTTCTCCTTTGGCAGAAATTGTTTTGATGCCTCTGACCTCTAGAAAAATTGGGCATAAAGATTATTTATTTATTTATTTTTGTTGCATCAGAACTTGGTTCAAGAAGATTATATGAACCAATACAAGAGTGTTTTTTATTTATTTATTTTTTTTATTATTATTTTTTTAAATATAACTTAATGGTAGTTGGTTTGTCACTTGGAAAAAAAACCACAGTTTCCTAGAGCTTGGTTTGGTAGATTTGGTGAACTCATGATTGAGTTTGGGATTTAGAGAAGTAGAGAAATAGAAAGACCACTTTGTCTTTTTACTTGTACTGGCAACATGTTCTTGATTGTTGATATGTTGATATTGTTAGTTTATTTAATGATTGCAATGAAATGTAGTATTTAATAGTTTCTCTAACTAAGAATTTGGGGCAGTCGAAATATTTCATGGCTATTGAAGTTGTTAGCTCAAATCTGGGATTATCTCTGTTTGCAATACTGTCTCTGGTAAGATTATTGGGGTCTAGATCCATAGAAACTCGTATGGACCATAACACTATTTGCACGAAGTGTTCAACATATCATGGTGACTTGCTATCAGATCTTGAGAATGCAGAAACAAATTGGATTTAATAGTGTACTATTTAATAGTTGCCAGTTGGTGATATTTCTTTTGCAATCAATGTAGTCAGTTTGTATTTGGCTCTCCTTGAACTAGTCAATAGGACACAATCATAAGAATTATGATAAACTGTTGTTTTAAGTTAATGAAGATTAGCCTGGAGATCCTATTTATATGAGATCAATTATTGGTTATTGGCTTCTTGTTGGTGGTAACTTAATGTCTAGGAAGAGCAAGCAACGACCAGTTGTGTCCTAATAATCAAGTGTTCAATTTAAGTCTGTAGCTATGGCTCATGCTCCTTGTGAATTAATGTGGTTGAAGCACCACTTTAAAGAGCTTGGCCTTGCACACTTAATAGCTTATGGATGTTATATATGACTACAGGGCAACAATAATATATTATTGCCATCCTAGTGTTTATTGGGCAAACCAAATCATTGGGGTTGTCATATAATTTGAGAAATACTCTTTGCAAGATGAGATTTGAATGGTTCAACCAAGATTTGTGATCAATTAGTAAATTTATTCAACAAACTTTTGGGGGGTTAAATAAAAAATAGTATGCTACATTTGTAACAAGGTAGGACTATATGTGATATATGCTCTAGGCTCTTGCTTGAGGGTGAGAGTTTAGAATATTAAGATTGTTGAGTTATTAGGTTAAAGGGTGTTTCAGCTTTGGTTTTGCCCTATCTTTCTCTGATTTTGTCTTCTCTCTCCCTTTTCTCGTAAACTTTGTTGTTAATGTCCTATTGATACTCCATCATCTGGGATAAAAAGTTACTCAGTCTCTGAATGTTGGTCCTCTATAACTAATTAATTTCTCTTATGTTTTCCTTTTGGATACCCTGAAAGTTCTAGAGCCAAAAGGAGTAGGAGATGGTTTTGAAATGAAAAACGTCCTTGAGTGGTGTTGATACTCAAACCATAGGGTTAGAAGAACTGTAGATCCAAGACAGGTTTTGTTCCTGAAAATTTTAAAAGCTAGAGGATAACTGTTGCTCTTTAGTATTGGTATGCATTACTTCATTGCCCGATTGTTTTGGATTTTTAAATTTTGTATATTTAACTGCTAGAAGTTGATGCGAACTTTCAGGTTAAGTTTGGTAGAGATTGATGATAGCTGATAGGAGGTTGTGAGTTTTGAAGCCTGCCCTTTAAGTAATGTTTAAATTGTTAATGAAAAAGAGGAAGAATAAGGAAAGAGGAAGAATAAGGAGAGTTAGTGGCAGAGGAATTTAGGATACTTTAGACTTCTGTGGTAAAGCTACATTTCAGAGTTCAGATTACTTGGTTCATCTATGTTGAAGTAAATGACAACAGAGTTAATAGTGGATTATCAGCCTTTTGCTATTGCTCAAGGGGCTGAGACTTCATTTTAGCATTTATATTCCCTCTTAGTAACATGATCCTTGAAACCATTCGGGTTGATTGAGAAATTGTCTGGTAATAACAAAAGATGATTGAAGTTCTCAGCTTTTCAAAATTAGTAGTTGTATATCACCATTTAGTCAAATAGCAATGGAACCCAATTACCATCTGTTTTCCTTTGGAAATGATGCTCTCATGGATTTATGACCCCAATCACCACGTGTATAGAGATCAACAACAAATAGATCTGATTATGAACAAATGGATTGCAGATTTTTACTCATATTCAACTTTTATGTTGCTGGGTTTGTATCTTATAGTTACTCTTTGTAGAGTTGATTCTAGTTGGCATTTAATGGTTGTAAATCTTGACTATTTAGAAGAAAAATGTATTCATAAATGAGGGATGTAAGCAAATTATGATTATATTTCATAAATATGATGTATTCATTGTTGTAAAATGTATATTATTATTACTGTTGTTGTTGATGTTATTGTGTGTACAACAGAAATTAGGGAAGGGAATTCAACTTGCCTCCAGTGTGGCTTAAATCCCTATCCTCTAACTTGGTGAGGTGGGTTAATTACCATTTAGCCCTTGGTCATAATCATAAAGTGATATGCTGTTATCTGCACAAGTATATATTCATAATAAGCATTAACACATGGCCTTTTTTGTACATTATAATATGCATCTATGTAAACCTTTTGGGGGTGTTCTGGTGTTATTAGCCAACAATATGCTACTACTAGTTGTGTTGAATCATTTTCTTTTTGTTGAGAAGAATAATTTTGAGCTTTTGTCTGACGTTGGTTCTCTTTCCAGGTTACTGGCGAGGCAGAATATACTGATGACACACCAATTGCCTCCTGATGGTTTATATGGTGCTTTGGTGTTGAGTCAAAAAGCTCATGCTCGTATACTTTCCATAGATGATTCTGAATCTCAGTCTTCACCTGGGTTTGTGGAATTTTTTTTTCCAAAGATGTCCCTGGTGATAATATGATTGGCCCAGTTGTTTCTGATGAGGAATTATTTGCCACAGAATTTGTCACCTGTGTAGGACAGGTAAACCTTTCGGTTAAATATTCCCAATTTGCTAGATTTCCTGTGAAACATAAAATACTGATCCCTTGGAAGTAGCCTTGTTTTAGAGAATTTGTCATTCACTTTGGTACATATACATGTCTCTTACATGCTCACATGTAACAAATGGAGGCACATATAATACTATCAAATCCTCAGCCAGAATATACTAAATGCCATTCAAGATGTCCTTTAGAAAATGTTATATTGGTTTCTCTCTCTCGCCTCCCCCCCCCCTCCCCAGTCAACATGGATGGTTTTGCTATGCAGGTTATTGTGTGGTTGTTGCTGATACCCACCAGCATGCAAAACTAGCTGCGAGGAAGGTTCATGTTGAGTATGAGGAGCTCCCAGCAATCTTGTCAATACAGGATGCCTTGAAATCTAACTCTTTTCATCCTAATACAGAAAAATGTTTAAGAAAAGGAGATGTAGATCTTTGTTTTCAATCAGGTGAATGTGACCACATCATTGAGGGTGAGGTTCAAGTAGGAGGTCAGGAGCACTTCTATTTAGAGCCACAAAGTAGTTTAGTGTGGACTTTGGATGGTGGAATGAGGTTCATATGATTTCTTCCACTCAAGTGAGTTTCTCTGCTTGAATGTTTTAAATTATTCTACTTTCCTGCTGAAATTATCTGAACAAATATAACTTGGACTTATTCTGATATGGAAATTGTCTCTTTTGTTCCTTGCGGTTGATTAGCAAGAGTTTGTCAAGTGGGATTAATAAATAACTTCATGTTATATGCATTAAATTTATAATCATGAGAACATGAATTCATATTAGATAATTAATTCAATGCCGTATCTTGAATAAAGCAACCAGTAATTGATATCAAGGATTAATTTAGCAAATTTGCCTTTTATTTTCAAATATCTACAGATTTGGAGGATCCAACATATTGTATCTCTTACCAAAGAGAGCCAATTAATTCATATATGAATACATTTTTACTGGCCTGTAATTGCTCTAGAAGTGGGTCACAGGTGAAGTATGTATAAACTTAAAAGTAATCAGTGGTGGAATGGAATATTTACCATTTATTTGTGAAATTAATAGGTAATTCAATACAACAAGTTTTTGTCAACATTTTTGGAAAATTCCAAATGTAGAGGGCTTCACTTTGAGCTTTGCCAATCCTTAGTAGTATACATTTTTAATGAGATGTGCTTTCACATTCTCTTTATCTGAAATGGCTGGGAAAGAAAGGTTCCTTCTTTTGAGTAAGGGTACTCCTGGGGACGAATCACACCATTGGTGGTCATTTTCACTTTCTTCTTTTTATTTATGGCAGAATTAGGAGAATTACCCATTTTACTGGTTATAGTTTTGAGGTCTCTGTAATGCCCTTCTTAGAATCCATATCCTTTTTACTGAAAAGTTCCCTCTAGCCTTCTACTCCTCTAACAAGAGTGAAGGCTTCAGCAAGGTCTGGAATGGTTTCTGGTTTAGAACATGGTCACACACCTATTTATATTCAGATTTGAGGTCAAATAAAAATTGGAACACTCTCTCTTGCTCAACCATTGCGTTCAACTTCATTGTATCTTCACATTATGTCATATCAAGTTTAGTAAAGAGCTCTGAAAGTTTGTTTTGGTACTCCGTCATATTGAAAATTCCCAATTTTGTCTTGAAAATTCACCTCTTAATTTGAAACATTTGAGAAGTAAAACCTAATTTTGAATAGATTTTGTTAAACTGCCATCCAAATATCTTTAGCAGTTGGTAGTAACAAATATACCTTGCCTATTTCAAGTTGCATAAAACGTAGAAGCCGTGACATTATAGTGGCATTCCCAATCTCCTAGGTCTCATATGACTTACTTATCATCCTCTGATGGAGGATTCGTAGTACTCTTCACATATTTGAATTTTCCTTTACTAATCAAAAATATTTTGAGGGATTGAGTCTGATAACAGACGTAATAGATAATTAGGGTTTGGGAGTAATTGTCTGTCTTCTCCTGATTGATATCTCGTTTATTTATAATGAATAGATACATTGAATCTTGACACTTATAGTATATTTTTCTATTTACAATATAACTACCTTACGTAACCTTTAACAATCCCCTCAAGTTGCAATATATATATCACATGCTCGAAACTTGTTACAAAAATATTTCATTTTAACTCTATTTAGTGCTTTGGTGAATAAGTTAGCTAATTGGTCATTAGACTGAACATGGGAGATGCTAACATTATTTTGCAACACTTTTTCTTGCAACAAAATGACAATCCACCTCAATGTGCTTTATTCTTTTTTGAAACACTGGATTGTTTGTTAATGAATTGCAATTTGGTTGTCACACACTAATTTGCATTGGTTCTATTTGAATTAATCCAGTTCTTCCAAAATATGTTTCATCCAGATTAATTCACAAGTAGTATATGCCATGGATTGATATTTAGTTTCAGCACTTGATCTTGATACAACATTTTTCTTTTTACTTTTCCATGAGATTAAAA